GTTCTACTGCAAATCCTTTGTTTTGGATTTTGGTTTTTGAATGTGTTACAGAAGTAATGCTATTTTATTTTTTTATTTTTTAGCGAATTATTTAATTTTTTATTTCTTTTAATTTGTCACTAGAAAGGTAATGTTACTTTAGCCGAATAATTGTTGGGGAATAATAAACCTTTTTGAAATAATTTTCAGTCAGATCAACATTTTATTTGCTTATTCTTTTATACTTATGGTTTAAAAAAATTAAATAAATCGTATTGGTCATGAAGTAACCTTCAACAAGATAACCCAATAAAGTTGCTGCCTTTGGGATATAAAAATTTTAAATTCCGACAAAAAGGGTACGTAACAGGGGTGTCTTCTAAAATTTACTCCAGTGCTTAGGAACAGATCGAGGTACACCGGGCGGACTGCGATACCATTAAAAGTATTAATATTTTATAATAAAATACAATTTACTTATGCTTCGATCAAGTTACTGTTACTGTAACAATCCAAAAACTATTTGCCATAAATTTGTGTTTCTTAATTACTAAATCTGTAGCCCGGAGGTAAAGGACATTTGTTTGGGGAGCCGAATTTCCATAACTTTAGATTTTGTTTGAAATTTGTTTCTTAGTTAATAAATTATTAGACGAAAAAAAACATAGTGTTCTTTGCCTCCGGGGCATAGAATTTATGGACTTAATCTATTTCAGCTATGAACGCCTCTGATGATAATAAAGATTTGTTACCGATATCCAAATATACAATGCTTAATTTTTATCAGTACTTATTTAGGATTGATTTGTCATTTTATTTAAGTAGTAAATAGTTATGCCCCTAAGTTTAGGAGAAGTTTTCTGCATATCGCTTTAAGGTAGCCATTCGAACTTGAGGCTTATTAAAGTTGAGGGTAGTAAAACCGGGCGAGGATCATCAAGTTTTGATTGCCGACAATTCTCAGCTAAAATCGTAACGCTCTTATTGTATACAGTTTATCACTCCGAGGAGGAAGGGGGGGGGGCTTAATAAAATAAGAGTTTCTCCTATAGTGGCCGTAAAGATTACTTATAGTTGGGGAAAGAGTGACTAAATCAGAGTTAGGCCGGGGAGTGTTTCATGGCCGGGAGCAGTTAAGGGCATCTGTTCTCCTTCCCACAACTTGGCTCACCGATAATATCTTCTTCTCTCTTAATCCATTAGCACCACTTATTTCTTACACGTCTCCTCATTGGTCTAGCTGCCGTTTACGGAACATCGCCGATGTTCACGGTGCAACATCCTCATAGATGTTCAAGACACTCAAACCAACAACATCCATCGCTATTACGTCCATAAATCAAAAATATACCTTTATAATAGAGCAATAATGGTGTCGAATGTCGGTACCGATAATGATTCATACGAAAACTTGTCAGTTTTAAAACGGACCATAGCGAAAAAAAAACAAAAAAAAATTAGTTTAACTATAGGGACTCAAGAGTTAGAAATTAAATTTTTAATTAGTTTCAATAGTTATCATTCAATACTGGAATCTTTATTTTCATATTTTTCCTCTGTAATAAAGGTTTTACAGAAGTTTTATCTAAAAATGACTTTTATCTTTAGATTATCAAACAAAAACCATCAGAATCAAACACCTCATTTAAGATAAATGATAACTCTGATTTGAGGAAAATTATTATTTATTTAACGTAACTTATTTTTAAAAAACTTGAATAAATAGTTAAAATTTTACCATTAGCTTTAACTAGAACTCAATTACAAAAAAATTAAAACTTTTTTTCCCCCTAAAAGTTTTACGGAAACTGTAACAATGTAACCTTTTAAATATATTTCATAAAACTTTCAACCACTGATAGAAAAAACCAAACATATTAAAACACCAAATATGAGATCAAATACGCGAATGATAGACCAATAACGGGGTTGAATCTCAGTACTGTTAATAATTCATTCGAAAACTTACCAGTTTTAAAACGAGCCATCGAAAAAAATCCTGAACGAAAAATATAACTAAGTGACCTTTACTATAGTGACCAGAGCTCAAAATGAATTTTTTAATTTAATTTTTAACCAATTCCGTATAACCGGAATCTTTATTTTCAATTTTTTACCTTGCAACTTTTCAAGTGAAAATGTCACAGAACGTTTATTTAAAAAAAAAAGTTTGACAATTTGGCAACAATTTTTATCTAAAATGTCTCTTATTCTTAGATGATCAAACAAACGACACATTAGAATCCAGTAATTCATTTCAGAAAAATTAAAACTCTTATTTAAAACCAATTACTGTTTATTTCTCATGTAACGTAACTTATTTTTAAAGAACTAAAATAAATAACAGTTAAACTTTTACAAGAACCTTATGAAAAAAATTAACTAGAAAACTTCTTTTTTAAAAAAGTTTAACAGAAACTTTTTGAAATGTTTCATAAAAGCTTCAATCCATGATAGAGACAAAATAAATATTGATAGAGACATCCCTAAAACGTCGAATTTAAAATAAAGCTTACAATAAGAAAAGAAATGAATCATGGCGGAAAAGTTATTTTTCTTAAATTTGACATTACACAGTTGCCGCGGTTGAGAGAAAAACCTATAACGCTACTAAAAGAAATTCTTATTCATGACATGGGTGTAATTTTTCGATTATTTTATTTTTTAAAGTGTTGATTTTCTTTATTATTTTTTTGGTCTTGGACTGTCATTTGGCAAAAGAGACTTAAAAATAACGTGTTAGAAATAACAATTTTGGATTTTCAAAAATTTGTAAATTCACATGTTTTATAGTGAATAAAATAAAATGATTATGATAAAAAACACAATTTACAAATTATAAACATTAAATGTTTTTTTTACGTAAAATGTAATTAGTACACTACTGGTGTTGATCGGTTTTTAAATAAGCATTAACATGAATGTATAAAATACTGAAGTTTCCTAATCAATGTACTTCTGAGATTATCCCCGACGTAACTATATATATATATATGATTATGATATAAAACACAATTTACAAATTATAAATATTAAATGTTTTTTTACGTATATATATATATATATATATATATATATATATATATATATATATATATATATATATATATATATACTTTAGTACGTACATTTTGTGTTCATTGTTACTTCTGGTAATTTATGAATTCTTAAAATAATTTTTAGAAAAGAAATCCAACTTAGAGAATAGGCCACTCGAAGCCTAACTCTGGCGGCAACTTACAGTTATCCCTTTCGCTTCCAAGTACCTAAATTAAATTTGAGTTTCGTTAGACATTTATAATTACCACTTCATATATTATCACATGGCGGATTTACCAGGGAATTGCGTAGAAAGGAAATTTGAACGAAATTGCATTGTTTCCTCACTACCGAAGTTAGGAAAGAATTTTATTATTACAGAAGGTTAAGTAAAGGATTAATGATAAAAAAATCTGTATAATCAATTGTACGAAACTCAACCCCCTACTTCCACTTACGGATTGGCAAATGTATTTTTATCGATACACTTGTTTCGAATACGGCTTATTCGATTTGGTTGAAGGTTGAAGTAAATTACGAGAATAATATACAATTTTCAATACTCAATTCCAACAATTAAAAGTAACATGTTGGTTAATAATATAATGACTGCGAAATGTAGTACCTACTTTTCTACCTAGAAAACGTGACAATGGGAGGTTATATAAATTTTAAACTCAATGCGATTTATTAGACTTGGTTTTTATTAGATTATTCTATTCAGTTTCAAATGAAATTATATGCTTATAGGTGTGCAGTCGTATTTTTATATTTTCTTAAGTTTGTTATTTAATTGTGATTTTTTGTAAATTTTTAAATACAAAAAAATAACATCACATAAATATAATATCATAATTGTTTATAATCAGCTGTTGCATATTAATACAGACATTTTTGGATAGATACGGCTAATATGTGCAACACTATCTGTCAGAATTATGGGCGGCATCAAAAAATCCTTAAATGAATCCGTTACTGATATTATCATACAGCTTTAGGACCCTTTAGTATCAATCTGGTCCTTGACCAGAGGCCGACGGAGAATTAACATGAGCTGAAATCTGTATTATTGTTTCAAATAAAGTAGTTTGTTATGCTTAATATCCAACTACAGAAAACACCCGTATATTTTAATATGCAAGGTAGCAAATAAATAGATAAATATAATTTTTTACACATTTTAATATGGAATTATCGAGCAAAATCTAAGGATTCTTCAGCCTCTTAGATTCAACTGCACTTGCCTTAAACGGCGATCTATATCGAATCCCATCATTGGACATTCATTTCTCCCCTAAGAGACAAGGGTCCGCAGGAGGACATGGGCATTTACGCGAAGAGATGGAAGCCGTTGTCGGTTAGAGTGGCTATGATTAATAACGGGGAGGCGGCGATATAAAAACGCCCGCCGTGTCGACAACGGTTGGCACTTAAAGCCGCCGCCTATCGCCACGGTCTATTGCCGCCCCCGGTCTCTAATGAGGGGCGGCGCGTCTTCATTGATGCTCAAACCTTCTCTAGACCGTCTTGTCCCTCCTATAGCTGCCTCGGCACCTACCAATGATCGCTGCGTTCCACAGATTTACAAGCGCTATATGAAGTAATTGAAAATTCCCCGGCCTTCTTGAGGTATCAAACGTAACCTGAAGATAATATACGACTTCAACATCATCAAAAACGCTTTCAGGATTCATAGGATGTCTTGTATATACCGTTATAATTTCATCGGTACTTCCCTTAACAACTTCATTTTCACTTCCTCTTTGCTCATTACTTTACTAGTTAGCAGCATATCCATTTAATAGTCAAAACTTGTAAGAGTATTTTGAACTACTTGAAATGACCTGCTAGTGGTAATCAAGATGAAGATAGAGAATCATTTTAATTTTAATTCAATCTTGTATAATGAAACCTAAATTTTTCATCCACCAAAACTAATTCTTGCTGGTACAATAATAATTATTTTTCTCTTTTTATAATAGGTTAGACGATCATCTGGTCAGTGGACACAGGTACGTCGGTGAACAGTTTAGGTGCAATAAGTGCTCCAAAGGCTACAGTTGGCGACCCTGTCTTGTACAACACCAAGCTCTACAACACGGTGAAGTCAAAAGATATCCTTGTGAAAATTGCAACCGAGTTTTCACAGACGCCAGCAACCTTCAAAGACATATAAGGTAAAGAAACTTGTTTTATGCTAACTATAAAGTTTTACATATCTGCGTATAGCGTTACCGATTTCTAACATCTGATTTTTAAATTACAGAAGAGACCACGTAGGAGCTAGATCACACGCTTGCGAACAGTGTGGCAAGACTTTTGCGACGTCCTCAGGCCTCAAACAACATACGCATATTCACTCGAGTGTTAAGCCATTCCAGTGTGAAGTTTGTTTCAAGGTGCGTCTCTTATCGACTTTCATTATAACTTATTTTAATAATATAAAATAGATATTAGAAACAATGCATATATTTTTCAAATCTATTGCAAATACGTAAATTAGTAATGTATTTTTTTTATTTTCAATCACTCTCATTGATATATTTTAACATTTTTAATCAGTCTCCTTATTGAAGAGTTTGTCTAATTTATGCCTGTTCTTTTACAGGCATACACGCAGTTTAGCAATTTATGTCGGCATAAGAGAATGCATGCAGACTGTAGAATGCAGATTAAATGTGGAAAATGTGGGCAGACCTTTTCTACTGGAACTTCGCTGTCAAAACATAAGAGGTTTTGTGATTCGACCTCACCAGTAACATCTTCTGGAGCTATGAATCTTCCGCAGCCTGGTGGCAACCCATTCCTTATGTATCCCAGACCTCCTAGCGGCCTTCCTTTCTACCCTCCCATCATTCATCCTTATCCGTCACTGTTTCACAACTCCTCTCCTGGGTTCCTTCCGAACCCTTTGTTGTTCAACAACCCAGAAGAGGAGATGCAAATCAGTACTCAATTGACCATGGAGGCATATCAGAAATTCAGTCGTCAGAGGACTGGTTCTTCTCAGGACGGATCGCCCTCTCCTACAAGAACCAGTTCTCCCATCGACGCTGCGACACCTTCGATAAGTTCCATATTGAGCCTCAATAAAGTATCACCACCTACAGCGGAGGAAGCAGTCTCCAATGAAAGACCTTCACCAGCTCGTCCGCCAATGTCAGCGACCTTTCCAAAATTTGAAGAAACCCAACCAAACCATTCATTAAGCGATGGAGCGCAGTCTCCCGTTTCGTCTAAAGCGGGCGAAACAACGAATGAACAGCCATTAGATCTGAGCATTACCAAAAAAAGAAGTAGGGAACCATCGCCAATTACAGTGCGAAAGACACCTTCACCTCCAATCAACAAGAATGAAGAGACTCCAAAAAGGAGTACTGAGCTTACAGTAAAACATATAAAAGATCTAACGCCATCACCGCCCGAAGACTCTTCTTCATCGCCTGACACTAACGAAAAAATGCCTCAGATGGCATACCCAAGACCAATTCATCCAATGTTTTTAGAGGCTCTTTATAGGCCACAGTTTACAGGATTTACCCCACAACGTGAACCCAACTTCCAGTTTGGACCTCGTCCCTTTCCATTTTTAGGAACTATGGTAAATGGAGTAGCGAATAATCAGCGGCCGTATGAAATAATGCGTCCACAAATGAACAATTTCAACAAGCCTTATCAGGATGTTTTATCGAATTCTGCTAATGGAAGCAAGTTGAAGGACCGATATGCTTGTAAGTTTTGCGGAAAAGTATTTCCAAGATCCGCAAATTTGACTCGACATCTAAGAACTCACACTGGAGAGCAGCCATATAAATGCAAGTACTGCGAAAGATCGTTCAGTATTTCATCTAATTTACAAAGACATGTCAGAAATATTCATAATAAAGAAAAGCCTTTTAAGTGTCCCCTCTGTGATAGATGTTTTGGCCAACAGACTAATTTAGACCGGCACTTAAAAAAGCATGAAGGCGAAGATGGAAGTGGTGTGGTATCTGTAGCTGACAGCCCTAGCAGTAATGAGGCCGAGAGGGAGGACACTTATTTTGATGAGATTAGATCCTTTATGGGAAAGGTGACCTATGGTGCAGGACTGTATCAACCTCAGGGTGAAGCAAATGAAACGGATTCCACTTCAGAGGAATGCTCACCTGCAGTATCTCCGACTGATACACCAATAGCTATGGTCATCAGAAAACAATATTCTCCTTTGTCTTACAAAGATGAAACATTAAATAACAACACCTCAGAAGCAGAACCGCTTCAAGTAACAACCTAACCTTTATTGGCAAATCGCTTAATGTAAATAAATATATGTATAAACTTATTATATGCGATGCCACCCACCTTAAATAAGTTTACTATGTATTGTGATAGACTAGTTTACCAAAGCCCAAAACATGTAAAATTGTAAATTTGATCACATAGACATTGTTTATCTTGTCTTTTCTCTCGATGAATGAATGTATATTTTAAATTCGAGTTTTGCTTTGAGATATGTTATTAAGATGCTTTTTTTCCTCTTTTCTTATTTTATTTACGATTAGCAACCAAAATTAATTCATGGTGGTCTAGTTATTGTTTTACCATAGTTTTAAGTATTATGTATATATTGACCACTAGCATGTAGATTTGTAAATATTTGAATATGATTTTATTATTTATAATATAAAACACTTAATCACAAATATTGTAATTTATGACAGATTTAAATTATAGTATATTTATTGTTTAGAAATTTATGTCTTTATATATATATATATTTAAAACTATATAACTGTATATATTTATAGATATATACAACTATGGAAAGAGTTGCATTATTGTAAAATTAAATCAAAGTTTTAATTGTGTATATTATTGTTGATATGTTATATAATTACCTCAAATAAAGACTCGTCTTATCATTATTTTATCTTTTATTCTTCAACCCAATTCTAACTTACTATAGTTAGTTTTTAAGTTATCATTGGTCACCATATTAATTTTAACCAATTTTACAGTGGAATACTGATATCAAAATTAAAGTTACTGGGTCAAAATGTTGGTCCTATATACTACATGATAAAAATGCTTATTTTTTAGGCTTTAAGATTTTACGCCAAATCCTATTTCGCTGAAGTATAATTAAATTCAAATAAAAATATATCTAACAAAAACCTAATCAGCAAAAATTTTTTTAAAAAATCAAGAAGAAAATTGAGATATAAAAATTGACAATAATCACTTTAAACATATTTGACATTAAAAAACGTATAATATTAATCAATACATGGGTTTATCTTTAAACAGTTAAGTAGTTCAAACACAGTAAATTTAGGTTAAATAAAAACCATTTTATATATTCAGTTTAACAATTTTAAATAAGTAAGATAGTGTAATATATGAATTTCACTTTTACCAAAAAGTAAATATTTATCACCCATTGTTTTTTTAAATTGAAAATACAGATAATTTCAAAATAGGAATCATCAGTCTATGGTGAGTGAAGCAGGGAGTTTGAGAATTAGCTGCTAAGAATCTTGACCTCTCAATGATTTCTGAGGTGGTAAAAATCAGGGTCAAAAATGAATTTTCAGTGTGGGAATAATTATGAAGATCATGATAATTTAAATTAAATAATATGTACCTGTTAATTTGAAAATATATAACTGCTAATTAAAGGTTAATTCTAATACTATAGTTGAAAAATAAAGGAAAAGCTTTCTCTTGTGAACTAAGATTGTTAAAAAATGAAGGGAGAAAATAGTGTCTAATCAACATCTAGTGACCTTTGAATGGATAATTTCCTATGACCTAATGAAAAGTTTATATATAAATATAAAGCGTAGGTCTTGTATGATATTGTTCATAATTTTTAAAAACTTATATTCATCATAAATAAATATAAGCATCAGAATAAAATTTATTTATCCATCTCCTAAGCAATCAATATTCCAAATATATGTGAGAGTAATATTTTTATATTTTTTAAGAGCTGTCACCTCATTTTACCGTCATCTTACAGATACCTATATATTACCCATTGCATAAGTGTAAACACACTCTTATACATCTACCTACAATTCAAATATAAACTAGCGCCTTTCTTTATTTCAATATAAAGACTCAACAGCAATGTAAGATAATTAACAACAAGAAGATGATTAACTTACATGACAGGCAAATGTCACTAAATTGTTCATTATAATTATTTTTTGGAGGCTGAATGGCCCAGAATAAAATTTACTTTCCATTTATTTCATAATTATAGACCATGATTTATAGAAATCCAAAATTCATTAAAGATATAGTTATTCTAAAACACTTGTAAATTCCCATACTTCATGAGTAGTTTTTATTAAAAAAACCTTTATGAAATTCAGAGAAAGAAGGAAGCAGAATAATAGCGGCTTGAAACCTCTAGGTAAGTTTATCTGATCTCCAAAATATTAATTCCATGGTAAAAAAAAATTTGAATTTTCTTGTTAAATAATAATTAAATAAGAAAGCTCCTCAGTTGACATTATTTTATTAGTAGTTTCTCAAGACTCCACCCCACGCCAAGTTCTGTACTCGACTATCATGTACAACATACGAACAAACAATAGGCTAATAACTGTAATGAGACTCAGTGCCTCAATACTAGCCACAGGCACATCTATGGGATGCTCTCAGGATGGAGCTTCTCCTTCCCCACAGTGGTAAAATAAAACAATGATGTCAAATGAAAAAAATATAAAATTATTTCTAAAAGTATTATTATTCGTGTAATTATATTTAATATGACTTCAAAAATCATTTGAAACACCATTTCATATAGGTTGTTAGTTTCTTACTTTTTCTTCCAGTAATTACATATAAAAAAAAAAAGTTTTCGGACTCAAGCACCCAAAATTAAATCCTGAATCGGCTAGTAATACAAGATATACAAACAGAACAACACAACATGAGTAACATACAAACACAAATTATTATGTTCATTATATCAAGTTTATTATTGGTTATATTATAAAAAATAAAATTTTACCATAAAATAAAATACATTTATCTTATTTAATCATTCTCACTTTACTTTGAGCGTAGTGCAGACTACGGGGGGAGAAAGATGGGGGGAGGAGGGAGGTCTGATCTCCCTTCCCTCTCCCCAATAAAAATGTTGAGGGAGCAAGAATATCGTTTAGTCCTATCCCCCCAATAATTTGAGATAAAAAAAAAATTAAAATCAATAATAAATAAGCTTCATGAATGATAAAATATCTAAACGAAAACTGATTAAGAAAAGTCAACTAGCCTGGCTAGGCTAGGGCCTTGTAGTAGGTATAACTAATTTATTGATACTTAAATGTTTCTTTTATTTAAACTACCATTTATATTCAAAGATAAATAATATATTTCAATATATCCTAGGATTTTATGATTAGATCATCCCTCAATTTTCACATGATATTCTTATCACATTTTCTGCAGCTAGCTAGTCGGGCTAAGAAGAACGTTGTATTTTTATTTGAAGTTGTACACTTCAAGAAATCAAAGATGTTTTTCACTTTTTATTCGACTAAGCGAAGCAAAACAGTTTTTGAAGTGAACGGCTAGGTTGATTTTTTAGTTTGATGGCTCAAATTATTCAGTGAAATCTCCTGAGTGTATTAAAACAATTTAAGCTAAATAATGGCCCGATATTAAATAAAATGTGTTTAATTGATTCACAAAAAGCAAAATGAGTTTTGGCTGGATTATTTTTTGTTTGATGGCTCAAATTTTTTGGTGGAATAACTTGAGTGATTTGAAACAATTTCAGCTGAAAATACTGACCCGTTAATAAATAAAATGTGTTTAATAAATTTGAAAAAGTTTTGTAACGCTGTTTTAAGAGAACGGCTGGATCGATTATTAAGTTTGCTGGCTCACGTTATTCGATGAGATTCTCTGTTTTGATTTGAGCTAAAAATACTGAACCATCATTAAATAAAATGTATTCAATTGATTTAATTGACCGGGTAAAATGTGTTTAATCAATCCACTAAAAAGGTATGTAAGTTTTGAGCAGATGTCTTGACTGATTTGTAACTTTAGCTGACAATATGTTATGAAAATAAATTGTTAATATTTAAATTATAAAAATGTTAAAGTAAAAAATATTTGAATTAAAAAAAAAAATCGAGTACATTAGTTGGGAAATTCTATCCACCTTAGGAGAAAGTTCTGACATATTCACTTAAACATCTTGGTAGACTTATAGTAAAATTGACATCTACTAATATTTAAACTTGATGTAGTGTTCGGGTACCTACCTTCCCTTAACAAGATTTTCGGATATTTACTTGTACCGATAGATGGCAAGCAATCTATTTGCCTGAAGCCGTAATGTGTAGTGAAAGACACCCGACTATTACACCAAGTTTAAATATTGGTATATCTCAATTTCCGCATCAATCTACTAAGATGTTTAAGTAAATATGGAAGTACATTTTCTTAGGATGGATAGAAGTTTCCCAATTTCTGTAGACAGTTGTTTTTAGATTCATATATATTTTTTTGAATTATTAATTTTTGGCTGAAAATGTTCTATAAATGTACAAATGCTACGAAGACTGTGTCCCCTTCTCCCTGTGTTTAATCTAAACAAATAGCTTATATGTATTGTCAAGTATATATAATAAGTAAAACAAAATAAAAATCCTTACAATTACAAAAACATATAAACAAATTAATTTTAAACATTCAATATTATATTTGTTCATTTCAAAATAATTATGTTGAATTTTAACATATAATAAAAACTCCAGCCAGTTTTTAAAATTTTTTTGAGCATTTGGTCCATAGCCAATCAAAATCGAAAGTCTGCACCTATGACTCTGAGTAATATTTATTCCTATTCCCTATCAGTGGATTTGCTTTGTCCATTCTATCAAAGCTTTTTAAAAGTTCAACGAAGAGTAAGATATAATCACAATATCATCAGAAAAGATGAAAAATTGAATAGAATATTTTCTAACAATATTATAATTTTTTTTCATATACTGATTCTATAATAAATTTATTAATAATCCATGATTCATACGATATTTTAAAAATTTTCATAATCTAACATAATTTTCTCTGACCTAATGAAAAGTTTATATATAAATATAAAGCACAGGTCTTGTACGATATTGCTCATAATTTTTAAAAACTGTTATTCATCATAAATAAATATTAGCATCACAATAAAATTTGATATGATAAATATACAATATATATACTCTATAGTTATATATAGGAGGGGAGCTTTTTAATAATTAGAAACCACATTTGGGCTAGACAGTGATAATTAATTAATTTTTTTATCACGGTCGGTATTTCTATTTGTCTAGGTATACAAACATGAACATTAATTTCCATGATGTCATAATTGACATGACTAATACCAGAGATGATATTCATGAATGGTAGAAAAACTGTCACAGAGGCTGCATGCAATCCTGAGGAAGGTACAATAAATTTTCACAGATTGCAGGTTTCTCACCAATGTTATATATCTATATTGAGCCACCAATACAATATTATTATTCTTAATTGGTGCTATACCCCAAGGGAAGAGAGGAACTCTCCAATTTCAAACGCCTGATAAGAATGGCCGAACTTCATCAGCCATGCTGCCAGCCCAGTGAAACATAGACCTGTTTGTCTCTGCCTGCACAACCAGTCGAGAATTCTGAGGGTTTCATCTTCGTCTATCC